ATGACTTGGGATACATCACAACTTTCAGAAACAGTCTGACAATGTCAGTGAGCACTGCTGACCTGTTTCTCCAGATGCTGTTTTTTCCTGTCCTGCTGCTACATCCTGTGCATCTCTTTTCAGCCAGAATCTTAACTTCATCACGTTACTTTGAGAAAGATTTGTAGATAAATATTTTGGCTCATTTAATATGCCTTCTGGTATTTTAACACCAGGTCTCATATTTTCTCCACCATTTGGGGAACTTATTTTTATATTCAGACAAATTTGATATGCTTAGAGAAGTTCATTTCCAGAATTGGGTGTTCTAGGAAAGATCCCAAGAGTGATGGTAAAGCAACAATGGACTGTGAGACTCCTGATACAAGTGTGTGTGCTGGACAGGGACTGGCTGAAATTCTCTTGCACCAACTGTAGCAATCTGTAGCACCCAGACAGACGATGAGCAAACCCTTTGGGGTTTTGCACTGGGTTGGCAAGTTCCAAGCATTCAAATGGAAAAAGCTTTTAAAATAGAAAATTATTTGAATAGAATGGACTAAAAAGGAACCAGGGATCTGTCCTGGCCAAGGCAGCACCCAGGTGTGCAGCTGCACCCAGAAGGGTGAAAAATGGGCTGAGCTTTCTGATTGTGCCTGGCTGCAGCCTCTGCCTGTTCCCTCCCCTCCCTGCTGCCTTTGAGCATATGGCAGAGTTCAAACCAATAACATTTCTGTCAAGTCCTTCCCTGGTTTTGTTTGCTTGCTGAAATTTTACTGAAGATGCTTGATCCTAAATGCAAATAAAGCTCCCACACGTCCATCCTGCTGCCAGCACTGATCCCAGAGCCAATTACTTGCACAGCATTTGTCATTGTTCCTAAGCTTTACCTTGGCAATTTTATTTAGACAGGGGCATTTTCTGCTGATAAATCTAGCTCGATTACCAAGTCAGAATGTATTTATTAAAACACCAATTAGGCCTTGGTCTCTCATCAATCATGGCACCTTTAATTCATGCATGGATGCAAAAAACTGAGGCACTGTGCATGTATGAGTGAGTGATCTAAATCAAATTGTCACTTTACCAGCATTACCTGAGCTTCAGGCCTAGAGGCAATCCATTTTTTATTTACCATATGAATAATGTGTGATGCTTTTAAAAGCTTCAACACTTCATTTTTTGGTCTTGAAAAGAGAATACTTGCTGCACAGGGTTAGAAACTAAGGTTCATTTGGAGGAGAAGGCAGCAGCCCCTTGTATTCTCAGGTGATGGGAGCTCTGTGGGATGGAGGTCATGGGGAAGCTGGCTCAGGGTGGGGGTTACCCTCTTCCACTTACTGCTGGGCCTGGCTACCAGGGCACTGCTATGAATTCCTGCTCAAATGGGGATCAGCCCCAGCAGAAGAGATGAAGCGTGAGACAGCGAAAGCTGAGAACAGTCATGGGGGCACCGAAGAAGAAAAAGAATGAGAAATAGAAATAAAAACCCAAAGGCAACAACAAAACCCTAAAGCAGAAGATGCAGTAAAAAGAATAAAAGGACAACATAAATGCACGAGAGTGGATTGAGAACAATAGGGTAGGAAAATGGCTCAAAGTAGGATGGTCAGAGACTGAAAGGTTAGTGCTGCCCACGCACATAAGAGCAATGAATGTCTGAGTGCTGAAAATACCTCTGTCTGCCTCAGCAAGTGCATGGTGTGTCTCCTCTGTGTCCTGCAGCTGCTGAGGGGTCTTCTGAGCAAGAAATGCCCTCGTGCCTGTTGTTGCTAATTCATTGCTGCGGCCATAACTGTAGCAACAAACCTGCCCTTCATGACTTTGTAAGACAGGCTCAGCCATCCCTCTTCCCCTGGGAAAAAAACCACAAAACAAACAAAAACCAGCACTCCTTAAAAAATTAAAACCAACCATAAGCCCCAAAAAACCTCAGGAAAATGTTCTGTGAAAACTAGAGAAGCTGAATAAAAGGCATGTAATTGTGAGAGCAATGAGCTCTTCTGCTGGTAAGGCTGAAGCTGCCTGGGAAGGCCCCTCCATCCCCCTGCACCTGCTCCCTCATCAACATTTACTTTCATTTCAAATTCAGTAGCAAAAAAAAATAAAAAAATAATAATTTTGAAATTTATTTTAGAATAGTAATTTGTAATGTTCATTCTGGAATATCACAACCTTGCATTGTTATTAGTCTGAAACAGAACGGAAAATTAACTCTATGTAGTGTGTTATTAATAGTAATTTGTAATGTAGGGATGTGGGTGTCAAGATGAAGGGAGGTGTTGAAGTGATGGAGCTGAGCACTTTCCTGGTGCAAATGTCATCAACATCACCAAGCTCTTTTAGAATATTTCTGTTTGAAGACAACAGCATCTGACAGTGACAAATTGCCTCTGAAGTGTTCATCCCTTTCTCCCAGGATCCAGAGGTTTCACACATTTAGTGATGTTCCCTCTGCATTTCCCAGGGGGACTTAGGGAGCAATGGGAGGGAGGTGATTTCTTTCCAATGTAGCAGCTGGATAATTTATTTAATCTGGGAGAATCAGCTGGGACAGGTAGGGGCTGAAGCTGGTGCCAGTCCCAGACGTGGATGCATTTACACAGCAAATTTACTCAGCACTTCAAAACTCCATCGTGCGTGAGAGGGGCTGGGTGAGGGGCTGGGTGAGGGGCTGGGTGAGGTTTCTCACACAAGTCTTTGTGGATTTTGGTTTGCAGGTCTTGGACTAATTTAATTTTGTATTAAACCTCCTCTCTCCTCCCCAGTTTTCTGCTTTGCAGCTGTTCTTCTTCGCAGGGGTTCCCTGTTCCCCATTTGCAGTGTGTTTGTTACTGAAGTGGGAGAGTGGAAGAGAGAAACTGGATGGCTGATGGTTTGTGTGTCAATTATACATCAGAGGCTTTGCTGCTTCTTCAGAAGCTTCTAATAGTAATAATAATAATTATAATTAGGGCACTGGGAGAGAAATGTGCTGAGCTCAGGGAAAAAAGCAGGAGAGCCAGGCCAGAATTAATTAGCCCCTTTTATCCAAGACTCTCAAAGCATTTAGACATTAATTAATGAGTTATGTGGTAAATCAGGATGATGCTCAGTTTGCTGCTGGGACAGTGGCCGGTCTCAGGGCTCAGCACCTGTCCTGGCTTGGCTGGGGGTCCTGTGTGGTTCATGCCTCTGCAGGTGTTGTCCTCTCACTGCAACAGGCAGAGAAAGATTTCTATTTTTCCTGTCAGCTCTGCCCATCATCCTCACAACACCCCAGACTGGGTACATGCAGGTACCTGTGATTCCCAAGTTGGTCAAAGTCTCTCTCAGACTGACCAATCGTTTTGCTTTGCTCGGATGTCAACTAATTGATGTCATGCAGAGATTAATTTAGTTACTTAAAATTATAAAATTAGCTCCAGTGTGAAGTATCTAGAATGTCAAACTTCCTTTCCTTGTCAGAACTTTGTAGATGCATTTCCTTACCCCACAGTCTCGGAAACTCTGTGGCCCCATGAGTGCATCCCCAGCACGTCCCTTTACCTGGTGAATCCGTGCGACTGGTGCCCAGGCTGTGGGTCAGGCTTTAGATCAGGCTGTGGATCAGGCTTTAGGCTGTGGATCAGGCTTTAGATCAGGCTGTGGATCAGGCTTTAGATCCAGGATCAGGCTTTAGATCAGGCTGTGAATCAGGCTTTAGATCAGGCTGTGAATCAGGCTTTAGATCAGGCTGTGGATCAGGCTTTAGATCCAGGCTGTGAGTCAGGCTTTAGACCCAGGCTGTGGATCAGGCTTTAGACCAGGCTATGGGTCAGGCTTTAGATCAGGCCGTGGATCAGGCTTTAGATCAGGCTGTGGCAAGGGCTCTGGCAGCTCTGCCCTGGAGCAGCCCGTGTCCTCTGGCTCCCTGGCAGTTTCTGAGCCCGTGTCTGGAGCTGTTTGCCAAAGCGTGGGGGAGCAGAGGGTGTCACAGCCTTGTCTGACCCTGTCACCTGTAGCAAGGGCAGTTTGTGGGGCGTGACCCAGGCAGCTGCACCCCTGCTTTTCCTCCTGCACCTGCGGCAAAGAAGAGCTCAGCTTGCGTGAGCTGAATCAGATCATTTTACAGAACTGTTTAGCTAACAGAACCAGCTTCCTGGCATGGTAATTGACTTGGATCCTACTTGACACAGATGTATTTTTCATGTATTATTGCTTCATGCTGGAACCTCTCTTTCCTCTTCCTCTGCTACCTGAAGATAACCTCATGAAAGTTATGTTTTCCCCCTACTTCATTAAATGCTAAAGAACAATTCAGTTTTCTCCACAACTTTCCCTCTGTCCTTAGATTTTGTCAATGGATTGCTCCAGCTGGCCTGGTATGTTGTTCTTGTAACGATTGTATCAAGGTCTCTCCAGCACACACGTTAAACCCATTTTGTAGGTACAATTAAAGCAGGGGGCTGGTCCCTGCCCTGCGAGATGCTGGCAGGGACAGGGGGGGGGGCTGCAGCCAGACTGGCCCTGCGGGTTCTGAGCACATGTGTAACTGTGCAGACCGACTTCTCACCTTCTACAGGTGTCAAAAATGTATGAATCAGAAAGAAATCTGTTCACCTTTGCTGCTCCCGGTGTCAGTGCCCCCGCGGGGCAGCAGCAGCCTGGCTGGGCACTCACCTGGCCCTGGCCTTGGGGGTCTCTGGGGTCTGTGCTTCAGAGACCCCCGCGCACCCAGAGCATCCTCTGCAGGCCCCGAGCTGTGCCCAGCCCGGCGGGCTCAGCGCTGCTGCCCGGGGTGCCCTCCTTCCCAGCACCCAGATCTCCCCCGGGTTTGCTGTTCTGCCCAACTGAATTGGTGAATTTCTGCCTCCCGGCTCACCCGCAGCCTGACCATTGCTGGGGAATATTCGTTAGGTGAAATTAGCATCTATTAGCTCTTAATTAAGTTACAAAAGGCTTGTTCTGTGGTCACGAGGCCTGTCGTGTGGACGTGGCTGCCGGCGGGTCGGGCGGGTTCGGAGGTGTCGGTAACCCCAGGTGCTCTGCTCCTCTTGCAGGGGAACCCTCCCGCTGGTCCGCGTCCCACTGCGACTGCTGCTGCAAGGACGGCAAGGGCGGCAAGGAGGGCGAGAGCGGCACCTCCTGCAACGAGCTGTCCAGCTCCAGCTGCGACAGCCAGTCCGAGGCCAGCTCGCCCCAGGAGACCGTCATCTGCGGCCCCGTCACCCGCCAGCCCAACATACAGACTCTGGACCGGCCGGCCAAGAAGGGCCCGGTGCAGCTGCTGCAACAGTCCGAGATCCGCAGGAAGAGCGACCTGCTCCGGACTCTCACCTCCGGCTCCCGGGAGTCCAACTCCAGCAAGAAGAAAGCGGTGAAGGAGAAGCTCTCCATCGAGGAGGAGCTGGAGAAGTGTATCCAGGATTTCCTCAAAATCAAAATCCCAGACAGGTTTCCCGAGAGGAAACATCCCTGGCAATCGGAACTGCTGCGGAAGTATCACCTATAGGCTCAGGGTGGGGAGAGCACACGACCTTAGTACCCTTAGAGCAACATTCTAAGTCATATGAAAATAATTCCCAATAATAATTATTTGTTAGGTCACACACACACAATCATCAAAAAAAAATCCATCTCTATAGTACTGCCTAACTTGCCTATTTCACCTTAACATGTATAGTCATAGGGTAAGGGTATTTTTCCAGTTGTGGAAGCACAATGACAAATGCTTTTATTTGTAAACTCTGCATCTCACACAAGCTGAACACCTCGAGGGCACAACCCTTCCCCACAGCTGGGGCAGCTGCTGCTCGGGGAGGGGCAGCTGGGGCTGCAAGCCCACCCGTGCTCCTGTCCTGGGTGGGAGAGGGTGTGCACCGTGGGGCCTGAGGGGTCTGGGACGTGCACAGTGGGGTCTGGGGGGTCTGGGGGATGTGCACACTGGGTGTCCGAGGCCTCCTGCTTTCCACCTGCTCCTTGTCCCAGGCTGGTTTGGAGGGAGGTGCACAGCTGAAAGCCAAGCTATGCCATGACAGTTTACCTTAAGCATGTGTATATATATATGTGCATATATATATGTGTGTGTATATATATCTCTCTGTGTGTATATATATATGTATATATATATATATCTCAATATATATTGCTTAAAGATTTTCTGTCTCTCTCCTTGTAACTGCACTTTCTCAGAAAAGAGCATTTTTTAGCAGTCTGTGGATGTTCTGTTTCTTCTTCAGGTCTTTGAGGGTTGAACAGCAGAAACTCCTCTCGCTGTCTCTCCCCAGCTCCCTCTCACTATCTATTTTCCCCCTTTCCCAAGACACTGCAAACACATCTCAGTGCAGAGCAGGGAACCACAGGTGGGGCTTTGTTGCCATCAGCAAAATATTCCATTTGGTTTTGATTATTTTGTTCCCCCTGTGTCCTCCCAGGGCCTCTTGTTGTGTTTCTCAGTGCTCCCTGGTGCCAGAGGGTTAACAGCATGATGATCCCAGTTGGAAAGCTGCAGGAATCCTTCCAGGTGGAGTGTGGTGGCAGGCTATGCTGTGCTGGGGGTTCTGATTTCAGCAGGCTGGCCAAGCACGGGTGGCTGAAGCAGGCAGGGCCAGGGGGCTCGTGGGCTTGTCCAGCACAGGAGCAAGTGTCAGAGATTATCCTCCTGCAGAGCCATGGGTAGTGCTCTGGCTGGCAGGGGATGGATTGCTGGAGGATGGGAGCAGCCTTTCCTATGGGAAGTGATGGTGCTGGTAACACAGAGCACTTTGATCCTGACCTTTTTAGCAACCTGCAGGTTCCAGGGCTTTCTTCCCTCTGAAGCTGTGGAGGCTGCTGTGGCAGGTGATGTCAGGTGTGCCCGTTGCTCAGCTGCAGATGATGTGCAGGTGTTTATTGGTGAGGATGCGGATTTCCCCAGCACAAAGGAAGCGATACTTGTCCAGAGTGATCCCCAGGCATGAGATGGCTGTAGGGAGGGGCAAAAAAACCCTCCCAGCAATGCATCTCCCAGTCTTTGGAGAACAGGGCTTGGCTGTGGGAGGTTGGCACCATTTCTGCTGTGGATTAGCACACAAGAAGGGTGCTGTTTGTCTCAGCAAACATGGAGCTTGGTAATGCAGAGGGAGGCTTGTGAAATAAAGGGATGATCTGGGAAATGCTGAGCTCACTGAGGAAACAGCACTTCTTGGGATCAGGCTCTAGAACCAACTCAGGTTTTAAGACATTCATCCAGCCATGAGTTCAGGCATGGTATTTGTGCAGCCCTGCACTCCCCTGCTCAGAAGGCAGGTTTTTACCTGGAACTCCATGTTTTGTAAGATCCACAGATTTGGTTCCTCCTGTTTTAGTTATTTTTTGTTTAGGTTTTCTTTTTTGTTAGTTTTTTATTGTTGTTGTTGGGTTGTTTTCTTTTCCTGCTCAACGTTTCCTGCATCCCTTGCTCTGGCACCAGGCAAAGAGAACTGGGGAACAGATGAGGCTGCCCTTCAGGGTTTCCAGATGAGTATGCTGGTCGGGATGGGTCATCAGCTACAGCCACAGCTCCAGACCACTCCCTGTCTCTCTTTAGTATCACAGATCTTTAGGCTATGAAATACGTGTGACAGAGTGGGAGAGCAGGCACTGGATGTGTGTGTGTTTTCCCAGAGTGGTGTTCAGGACTGCAGGATGATTAATAACTGTAGAAAAATTAGACCAAATGAAATGCACCCCAACGGGCTTGATTTATGTGGCCTTCACGTCTTCAGTTTTAGATGAAATGGTTATTACTCTCTAGTGCTACAGAAATTAAGGTCTTAAACTTCAGTAATCACAGGCAGGCCAAACCTCTAGGAAAGGCAGTGCTGGTGGCTCTGTGGGGTGGAGCAGGGGCAGCGGGTGCCCAGCGGTGGGGACACACGTCTTGGTCTGCACTGCCTGCTGTGGCACTGCAGGGTCTCCTTTGGGCTGCACCTGGCAAGTGTTTCACAAGGTGGTTTGGTGCAAAAGGGGGTTGTGGGCATGTTCCCAGCACCTTTACTGTTTGGACTGGCCAGGAGGCTCAGGGGGGAGAGGAGCCTGGGCTGTGGTGGGGGCTCATCGGAGGTTCTCCTGCCTGCTGGATGCTGTGCAGCATTCCCTGCAGCTGCTCCGAGGTCCCTTTCTCTCCCTCCTTGTCTCACTGCTTCCTCCAGACCACCACTATGTGGTGAGAACCTCACTCCACCAAAAAGCCACACTCTGGGCACTTTGCTCTGCCACCAGCAGGCAGGGGGGCTAAGAGGCTGCAGCCCCCTCTGCCCACCCGCTGGGACCAGGCAATGAGGGAAGCAAGGGAGATGGCAGCAGAGCAGGGGGGGAAGTGGTGAAGGGCAGCTGAGTTGTGAGCTGTAAAAACACTCTGCTCTGTTCTGCCTTGTTCCGGTGAATGAATCCAGGTCTACCCCTAGGGTATTGCTGGTCACTTATTGGTAGCAAGCCAACATGAAACTCAGTTAACAGGGTACTTTACTCTTTCTAAAGTGTCTGGGGAGCAAACTGGGCTTTGAGCTACTTTCCATGCACAACAGAGACCTGTTGAAACCAATTTGAAAACTTACATTGACTTTAGTGGGCCTGAGACTCTCCAGAAACATCTTTTCTCAAGAACAATGGGCACTTGCATCAGTGAGGAAGAGGGAAAGCCATTAAAATGTAATAACATTCACATCCCCTTACATTGCTCATGATATTCATCCCTTCTGCGTGGGAGGAGCAGGTCTGGCCATTTGGTGATGGGCTGGCACAGCCAGTTGTAGTTGGGTTGTACTACAGATGGGCTGTAGTTACTGGGGGCTGTTTGAGTCTTGCTCAAGCTTTGCACAGGACACGGGGCTGAAGGAGCGTTGCAGGCACACGGACCCCTCAGCACCCTCCTGCCCATGAGAGCTGCTGGACCCTGGGCTCAGCACAGCTCAGCCCAGTTCAGCCCAGCTCAGCTTCCCACTGGCCTGGGTGACCCACACCTGCTTTTGCCTTTCCAGGTCAGAAATGTCACTTTTCCAGGGAGCTTTGTTACATGCCCAAATGCCTCGGGACAGGACCCAAAGTGTCGGGGGAGACGAAGGGAGAACATGTGAGTTTGCATAGACTCATGGGGACCAAATTCATCTTTTTCCCTAGATCATCCACACGCACCATCTTGGTCTTTCACCGCTCTCTGGGGGACACGTTTTGGGTTTTAACTCTAGTTTTCCAAGTCCATTTGTCAGTTTTATTTGCGAAGCTGAGGGATTAAGGAGAAAACAAGGTTGATTCCTATTGGCAATGGCCATAACGTACCTGAGCCCGCCAGCCCTATCTCACGCTGCTCTAGAAAGGCTGGAGAAACCTTTCCAACTTCTTACCCTGCCACGAAGCCCTTTCCACCATCGTGGGTATGTGCCCGGGCTTGACTTTCAGAGAACTTTATGCAGTGGGCCCCATGTGTATCATGGTACAGAATAATTGTCCAGTCTTATGGATAGTTTATGCCCCAACGGGGTTTTGTAGATTAATAGTAAAAAAACAAAAAAGCACTTTTAAATTATTTATATTATAAAAAGACATTATTTTTCTTGGCAACGATATATCTTAGTTAAAAATCAGTTTATGATATTACAGATTTTAAACTATAGCAATGATAAAGCAAAGATGAGGAAGCAGACTTCAGAATTCAACAGACAGAACCTACCAGGGTGAAGCAGAGGGATGAGAGGGCCCAGATGACACCCCCCTGCCCTGGCCCCAGGGGAGAGGGGGACCAGCCACAGGACCAGACCCCAGCAGGGGGTTGGTTTGTACAGACATCCCCACAGTTCAGGAGCCAGAGCTGCCAGGGCAATGTTTTCCCAGCCAAGACAGGAGCTGGAGGGGGTTGTTTGTGTGGTCCATTGGGGCCTTGCTCGTGGTACATTTTCAGACCTCATACAGCACTTGATGACTTGGCTGAGGCCGAGTTGCTCTGTTGCACAACGATGTAGATTAAGTGGCACCCACTGAATTACCTCTCTACTTTCCAACGTGGTTCACTTGTACATAAGTGTCATGTCAAATTGTTTACAGGTTATTTTGTGCGTAATTGTGGGAGGAAAAAAAAAAAAAAAAGAAAAGAAAAAAAAAAAGAGTTTTAACTACAAATTTAAAGGAATCGATTTTGCTGGAAGGTGTTTAAAAAAAAAATGAATGTGCTTAATACAGAATAGACATCATTGATTATGGTCTCACATGAATGCATGTAACTCCGTGTTGTCAGTCCCCACCAGTGAGGTTATTGGCAATATTCTGCAGTCTGTGAATAGCAAATATGCATAAACTACTGTGACTCTGACAAATATAACTCGGTGACTGTTTCTACTGTGGTATGTAAAAGAAAAAAAAAAAGAAAAAAAAAAAAACCAGAAACAAAAAACCCCATGTAGTTTTAGCCTGCTGTATTTCCCTGGTACAAATAACTGGAAAGAACCAAACAAGTTGTAGCTGTGACCTGTGTGGAGCCATTCCTGCCATGGCACCTGC